ACATTTACTGAGCCTACATATACATGGGGGCCGCAGCTGGTAAGATACGAGCTCTGCCCTCAGCAAAGACTCAGTCTAACAAGTAGGTGCGGTATATATGACCTTGACCATGAAGCAAGGCAGACCAGGTAAGAGTCCACAATGTCCTGGGAATTCTCATCCTCACAGCCATGGTTAGCTTGAGCAGAGAATGCCTATGCTCAAGATCTGAGCTCCTCAAGTTCACTTGCTGACAGGAGTCAAGAAACCTGGCCCCAAGCACCAGTTCTGCCAGCTCACTGGCTGGGGGATGGGGGGGGGCAGGTCTTGGGCAAATCCCTCTTCCTCTCTGGTCCTGGTTTCCTCCTCTGAGCCATGAGCCATTTAAACCACATGGCCTTCAGGGGCCCATCCAGCTCACTATGCCATCCCAGCCCTCTTGCCCTTTCCCACCAGGCTCTCTGGGGAAAGCCATTCTCCATCAGCCTCCCAGTGGGCCTCCTGGGGGAGCTGGTGTTCTGGTCTCAACAGCCCTTCCTGCCATTCAAGCAGGACTGAGCTGCCAGTCCCTCTGTGCCCTTCCCCAGCTAGAGAAAATTCTCAAGGAAGGAACCTGAAAGGGAGACCACAGCACTCACTCCCTGGAGGAACTGGCCAGGGCGGAAGGGGCCGGCCAAACCAGCAGAAACCTAAATAAATGCCTCAGAGCAGTACAGCTGGACAGACCAGTTTCCACAACAGGACCATAGGGCAGGCAGGTAGCGCCGCCCCCGCCCCCCCATCCGCCGAAAGAAAGGAAAACCTCAAACCAGGCCTCGTTTCTCCCGCTTCCTTTTCTCAGCGAGCATTAAAAAAAAAGCATAAAGTTGCAAAGAATGTTCCATAATTTTCCCACCAAGAGTCCCACTGACTTTAAAAATAAATATACAGAGATTAAAAAATGAAGATTGAACAGAATGATACAAAATGCAAGCCTCCCTTCCTGCCCCCATTTCTGCACAAAGGTGACTACCTCCAGAGGAAAATTTGCAGGCTCAGATATGTGAACATATAAAAGGAACCATACAATATACCAGTGGTCAGCAAACTTTTTCTCTAAAGGGCCTGATACTATTTTCAGTTTTGTCACAACTACTCAACTCTGTTGTAGCGAGACTGCAGTCATGGGCAATACTTAGATGATCGTGTGGCTGTGTTCCAATAAAATGTTATGGACACAGAAATTTGAATTTTCACGTAACTTTATGTGTCTCAAAATATTGTTTTTAATTTTGCAACCACTTAAAAATGTAATAACCATTTTTAGCTCACAGACCATACAAAAAGAGGTAACGAGACCAGATTTGGCCTGTGGGCCCCAGTTTGCCCACTCCTGTACCAGGCTCATTTCATCTACATCTTGAGGACTGTCCCACATCAACATGGAGATCCAGCCATTCTTCTGAACCGCTGCCTTTATCCATCTCGAGGCTGGACCCAAACTGCACCAGAGCGCTCTTTATCCTTGGACGTTTTGTTTCCAGTTTTGGTTTTGTTTTGAAATGATAAACAATGCTTTAATGAACATCCTTGTACATACAGTGAATCTCTATACCCTACAGGATTCAATCCTACAGGTGAATAAGGGCTATGAACACTTCGTCTCTCCAGACATTGCCAAATGGTCCTCCAGAGAAGCAGAATTTACTTCATATTGCATGAGAGTGGGACCATCTTTCCCCCACCCTTGACAATAGTCAATGTCCTGAAGGCATTCTAGAAACTTAACCCTTGGGGTGCCTGGGTGGCTCAGTCTGTTAAGCATCTACCTTCGGCTCAGGTCATGATCCCAGGATCCTGGGATCAAGGCCCACATCAGGCTCCCTGCTCAGCGGGGCGTCTGTTTCTCCCTCTGGTCCTCCCTCCCCCAGCTTGTGCTCGCTCCTCTCTCTCAAATAAATAAAATCTTTTTAAAAAGACAGAAAATGGGGTGCCTGGGTGGCTCAGTCGTTAGGCGTCTGCCTTCGCCTCGGGTCATGATCCCAGGGTCCTGGGATTGAGCCCTGCATCGGGCTCCCTGCTCTTCTCCCTCTCCCACTTCCCCTGCTTATGTTCCCTCTTTGGCTGTCTCTCTCTGTCAAATAAATAAATAAAATCTGAAAGAAAAGAAAAGAATGGAAACTTAACCTTGTCCTGCCAGCTCTCCAAATGGGAGACTTTCTCCACCTTTTGAAATGCCCCTCTGGCTGCAGCCCTGCTGACGCCTGCCCGGGCAAAAGCTAGAGAGCCGTATGTCTCCTCCATCCAAGTGAGGGGGTGCTCAGACAGAACTTCCACCCAATTACATGACAATTGTGGAACTGCAAACACCCTGAAGCTCCCGCATCCCAGGACCTTCTCTCAGGCTGCCTTTGGGCCCTATTCCTTTATGCCCTTATCTCTAGAATCTTTGACCACTAGTGCCAGAAGAGGCCTTGAAGACAGATCATTCTAGTACCTGCTGCCCCCCCCTCTTCATTGCAGGGCTAAGAAGACCGAGGCCATAAAGAAGACCTGAGCTGCCCAGAATCTCTGCATGAGAAATCCTCTAGGCTTGGCTGCCTCTCTTGAGGTACAGCCGGCCCCCACTAACCAACTCCCCCCAACCACAGAAAGTATCCCAGGATTCTTGGCAATGGCACTCTGCCTGACTGCTGGTGTGTGAGTCATGAGGCCAAATCCACCCCTCTCCTGCACCCTTCCACAGTCTCCCTGGTCTGGCTCTAGCCAGTGGCTCTCCTCGGATGCCTGGACACACTTGTGAGTCAGGAATAGAGGCCTACCTTGGGACATAGCGAGTTTGGTTCCAGAACACTGCAATAAAGCAAATATCACAATAAAACTAGCCAAGTAAGTTTTTTGGTTTCCCAGCACATATAAAAGTCACGTTTACGCCATACTGTAGTCTCTTAGGTGTGCAATAGTATTATGTCTAAAAAAAGCAACACGCGTACCTGGAGGAGTGCAAACAACACTGACCCCATACTGGACTCTCCATCTTGTTCGTGCCCGAGCAATGACCTCCCTCCAGACTGCATGTTCAGGCCTTGTGGTGGTTAATGTCTGCCCTGACCAGAACGTGAGAAGGGTTGTTCTGACCTCCCTGAGGTGGTACACAGACGGCAGCACGTTAGAGAACGACTCGCTGACCTCATCACAACGCCTCAGTCTATAAAAGCTGTAGACTGAGGTGCAGACTTGGCAGAGCATAGCTGCGCAGCGCCTCGCCCCTCACCCACCCCACCTGCCTGCCCTCCCACTCATCGGCAAGTCCCCCTGCCTAAGTCTCTGCAATGGAATGGAGCGGCTCATTTCTCAGTCTCAAAGTGCCTTCTCAGGCTGGAGGATACCTTACTCTCCCTCCCCCACTTCTAACAATACCTCAATTAAAAGTGGTTTATTGTGGGGCACCTGGGTGGTGCAGTCAGTTGAGCATCCAACTCTTGGTCGTGATCTCAGGGTTGTGAGATCCAGCCCCATGGTCTTGAGACTCTCTCCCTCTGCCCCTCCCTCCCCAAAATAAATAAAAATAAATCTTTAATAAAGTAGTTTATTGCTAAAAAAAAGGCTAACCATCATCTGAACCTTCAGCAAGTTGTAATTGCTGATCATAGGTCACCATAACAAATACAATAATCAAAAAGTTTGAAATATTATGAGAATTACCAAAAGGTGACACAAAGTGAGCAAAGGCTGCTGGAAAAATGGCACCGATAGACTTGCTCAATGCAGAGTTGGCACAAATCCTCAATTTGTAAGAAAACTCAGTATCTGCAAAGCACAATAAAATGAGGTACACCTGCAGTTATGAGCCAGATCTGTAGAATCACCCAGCTCCCTGCAGCCCACGCTTCTTCAGCTGCTTGTCTGCTGGCCAAAATCTAGAAATGCCTCGGGAGCTCAGGAAAGCCCTGAGCATGTGAATCCATGATGTAGGCAAGCAGCTGAGAAGGACAGTTCCAAGGGACAGACTGCTCCTGGGGTGACACAGAAAGAGGGCAATGGGGAGATCAGTACCATCAGGGAGTGTGGGGAGGCCACGGCATCGGGCCAAGCAAGGGTCCCCCTCTGGTTGTCTCACAAGGACTCCACCAAGGAAACCCAGGCTCCTCGGAGAGCCGTTCTACCTGCGGGATGAGCTGGCCAAGAAGTGAGAGGGCAGCGGGCCCCTCCACGGGAGCAGCTGGACTGTGGATCCCACAGCTCTTCCCACATGGGCTATCTCGCCAACCCCAACAACCCCACCGCGTGGCTGGCCCAAAGGACATGACAAGGGGAAAGGAGAGGGTGAAGGACAGGAAACAAACATTGTTAAGCAGCTAAGCACAGCTCCTGGCACAGGACGACAAACTTTCATTGGTGTCCCCTCCCCAAGCCTTGACAAGAGCCTGAGGGGATGGGTGGTTGTAATCCCCTTTATTTTAAATGAGAAAGGCAGGCTCCAAGTCCTCCCTCCTAGGTCAGTGCCCTTCTGGCTGCCTAACTTTCAGCTGGGCTCCAGCCAGCGAGAGAGAGCCAAGTTCCTGTTCCAGACAAGGCCTGTCCCTGTCAGAGGGCCAGGGCCTGGGGTGGGCTGGAGAGCCTCCCTACTTCACGCAACCCTTTCCTCACACCCCTGTAAATGCTGGCTGCACGGGACGGCAGGAAGCGGGGGAGTTGCCATTTCCCCCAGCTCTGAGGCTGCCCATCTGTTTCCTGGGATAGGACGCCCTGCCCCCTCTCCCCCAGTCCGGAAATCCACTTGTTCTGGGGCTATGGGAAAAGGGAACTGCATGGCTCCCTGCCTCCCGACGGGGCAGAGGCTGTCACTGCTGCAACAACCCCTTCCAGGCCTCCAGGCCTCCAGGCTTCCCGCCCTCACAGGTCTAGCGAGCCAGCTCCTACCAACGGTTCTGGGCCTATGGGGGAGAGGGGGCAGGCCACAGGTGGGGCAGGGCACGGGTGGGGCAGGCCACAGGTGGTACTGCCCAGCAGCACCAGTGCCCAGCAGCCACGAGACTCACCTCCCTTCCCCCTTCTAGCCTGGCTGGCATCTCTGGCTGCCTGCTTCACTGCTTGTCCCAGCACGAGGGGTCGGGTGAGGGGGTGACTTTCCGGGTAGAAAGTTTGTGGAAAGTAAGGGGAAAAAAAAGATTTCTCACCCCTGCCTTCATTCCTGACATAGTCATCTGCAAGTGAGCACTGCCCCCTGCTGGACACACTGGGTACATGTACCTGTGCCACTGCGAAAGGTACCACGTAGATACAGGGAAAAAGCACAGCCTGGGGCCCAGTGGCGCACCCAACAAAAGTAATGTGCAACATGAGCAATGTCAAAGACAACCTAAGATTCCCCACACCTTGGTCAAGATTCTCTCCCAGACCAAACTCTCCTCTGGCTCCTCTGCGCCACTTTTTTGACTAAGCCTATCCTGGGGCCTAGTCCTTAAGTTCCTGTTAAGTGGGTTTAGCCAGAATCCCCCACTCTCGATATCTGATCAGCCTGGATATCTCATCAGGCTCCTCATCCCTCAACAACCCCCATGTGATGATTGATCACCTTGGCCTGCCTGCACTAAGAATCCTGTCAGGACAGTTTAGCCAGAACCCCCCTTAGTCCTGGTATTTCCTCTTAGTAATTTTCCATCCACCGCCCTCCACCTGCTCCTTGCCTATAAACCCCCACTTTTCCCTGTTGTATTTGGAATCAAGCCCAGTTCTCTGCTGAGGTCTCTTTTCCCTTATTGTGGTAGTTTTTCTTAAAAAAACATGTTTTTACCACTTTACTGCCCATCTCAGGTTTTTCTTTAATACATCAAATGAGGGCACCTGGGTGGCTCAGTAAGTTAAGCGTCTGCTTTTGGCTCAGGTCATGATCTCAGGGTCCTGGGATCAAGTCCCACATCAGGCTCTCTGCTCAGTGGGGAGCCTGCTTCTCCCCCTGTGCTCTCTCTCTCTCTGAAATAAATAAATAAAATCTTTAAAAAATAATAATACATCAAATCAGTTTTATTTTGTTGTTTTTTTTTTTAAGGTATTTTATTTAAGTAAATTCTATGCCCAATGTGGGGCTCGAACTCACAACCTGGAGATCAAGAGTCGCATGCTCTACCAACTGAGCCAGCCAGGTGCCCCTCATCAAATGAGTTTTAAAAGGAAGGGAGCAATGCCACATGGGCTGAAGCAGGCCAGGAAGGCTTTCTTGTAAAGTGTTTGTGCAGAATTTAGAGAGGCAGAGGAATAGGAGGGCAGCACAGCCTGGCAGGGGCCAGGCCAAAGCAAAGGCCATTAGGGTGGAGTGTAGGCAGTGGGAGTTCAACAGACCTTAGAGACCAGACAAGGAAATGAGGTCAGTACCTGCTGGATTTCACACTGTTTAAAGCCTTGAACTTTTCCCGAAGAAGAATCTGCCCCAGGACCCTACTATATAGAAATATATATAAATATATAAAATTGATCAAAATGGGGGTACATTTTGATGTATACACTGTGGAGGCCCCTGGGCATCTCTGAACACCTGAAGGAGCAGTTTGAAACCAGAGCCGCAGGCAATGGGTACCCCTGACGTTCCAGTGCATCTGGACAGACAGGTGTCTAACAAGGGGAGAGAACAGAGGCAGAGTGTTCAAGATGAAATGGGGGTGGGGTGCCCAAGGCAGCAAGGGGACACCGCAACTGTGCTGCATTTCTCCAGCCAGCCCTCCTCCCACACCAGCACCTCAGGGAACCAGGATCAGTATATGGGAACCCAAACCCTCTATTCAGCAAAGCGTTCCTTTCCCAGTCTCCCCTCACACTGTCCACATCCTCTCATCTAGTTCCCGTTATACTGAACTGTCTCCTGCCTCCCCTACACACTAATGCACACAGAGGGCTTCCACAAACACCATTAACAAAAAACCCCATGCACTGCATAAAAATGGGCCGGCCCCAGAAGCAGCAGCTCTCCACCATCAGACTGCTACGCTGTCTAATAAGCATACTCACACGAGGAATGTCCAAAAGCCTAGACACCAGAAGAGGCAACTTCAGGGCTGCAACACTCCCAGTGACACCCACGAGAACATGGAACTGTCTCTTCACCAAGGGTGCAGCAGCCGGACTTGAGGCACTGGATTCCATGTGGGGTCTACTGGCTTCGAATCCCGGGAGCCTGCCAGGACGGCCTCCACAAAGCTCTGTCAGGACTTAAAATCAAAAAGCAGAATAAGGGGCACCCACTTCATTCATATGTTCGACCAGACTGTCTTGAGTACCCTGGGCCAGATACTTAGGTTACTGAGGGGTGAGCAGTCCCAGCGGCTGGGGGCACACGATTTGATGAGAAGGTCAGGTACCATGTAATATGGCCCAGTGCTGTGAGGAAGGTCTGCACTGGGGGCTTTGGCTGCCCAAGAGTAACTGTCTGAGGAAGTCAGAGACCCAAACAAGGACATTCAGCTTGAGTCCTGAAGGACCAGTATGCTTCCCAGAGAAAGAAGGAAATAACCATGCAAGAAGGAATAATCCCACAAAGGTGAAGAGGCCTAAGGAGGGTGGCAGGTTTGGGGAACAAGGAGCAGCTTAGGAGTGAGGCTAAAGGGTGATGGGAGGTAGGGGGTGGCAGGAGGTAAGGCTGCAATCAGGTCAAGGGCAGTGTCAAGAGCAGTGAGGGCCAAGGTGAGTTTTCATTTTAGAAAGATAGTCCTGGTGCCAAATGTGGACAGGACCCTGGAGGTGGAGATGGGAGGAGGCTGGACTGACTGAAGGGAGTAGCAGGATGGCACGGGTTCAGGGGCGCCTGAGAGGTGGTAAACCCTAGGCAACAGGAGGACTTGGGTGATCCAGGGAGTGGAGACATTTGCCTCTCTGTCACCGTCCCTTTAGATCAAACTGGACACCACTCTGCAAATCTAAGCCCAGGAAGAAACAAGCATTAAAGGGGATGTTGGACACCCCCATGGGACCAGATGCTTGGTTTCTTCCTCTGGCCCTCAGATGTCGCTAGGAGTGAGTGCCCAAGATAATATAGCTGACGGACACACCAAAACCTACACTCTGCAAGCTGGGTCAGCAAAACATACCCACTCCATCAGCAACAATCACTGAGAGCCAATGACATCTAGCACTGGGCAAAGGAATTGTGCAAGACATGCCACTGTCTTTGGGGAATCTGCAGATGAGTTGAGAAGAGTCACACCTGAAATCATTTAAGATGGGCCCTTCTCTGGGATGCACCTGTCTGGTAATAAGTGATTCCACTGTTCCTGTTTCCTTGCCTCTCCCTCTCCACCTCCCCCCCACCACCACTGCCACCAGCAAGCTCCCTGAATGTGGGACCAGGTCTGATCACCAAGAGCCAGGCACCTGGCGGGCCCTGAACCTCTGCTGGAGGAATAATAAATTGTACCTTCTGAAGCAGAGTGAGGTGTGGGGCACAGGACACTGGCACAGAAGCCTGGCTGGTGCATCAGGAGCCCTGGGCCCTGTCCATGGTTGTTTTCCTGAGCTCGTGTGTGACCCTGGCCCAGGGTACTTCTCTCCCTGGACCTGTCTCTTCATCTGAAAAATACAGAGGTAGGACCAGGTGATCTCTGAAGCTCCTTCAGTAGAAACTTCTGAGTCAGTGTATGAAAGACACCAGTAAGAGCTCTCTGTACAAGAGTCCTGGAAGGGGCGCCTGGGTGCCTCAGTTGGTTAAGCGACTGCCTTCGGCTCAGGTCATGATCCTGGAGTCCCTGGATCAAGTCCCACATCGGGCTCCCTGCTCGGCAGGGAGTCTGCTTCT